GTCGACGGAGCCCCCGTCACGTTAACGGCGGTCGCCGGGACAGAAGGAAGATTTCGCTTCCGTTTCTTTTTCTCGTACGGAATCCCACGAGCCTTAGCCTGACCCTCCTTCACCTCCCTGAGATAAATCCTGACGGCGCGTGCAGCGAAAGGGTTCGAATCTGGCCGTCCACCGTTCTCCTCGTACGCCGCTCTCAGCCGTCCGATCAGCGCGTCGAGGCTTCCCCACGCCTGCTTCAACGGACACGCGCACGGAGCCGGAGGGTTTGGGAGTCCGAAATACGGACAGGCCGCCGCGTGGACTTTGGTCTTCCCGAACTGGTCGAGGTACTTCAGGAACTCGATCACGTGCGCTCCGCTGCACCGCGACAGCGTTAGCGGCGGCTTGTGGTTCTTCAGGTACTGCAGGAACGTGTTCCAATCGCGCCGCTTCTGCGACTCGTACCTACTCGGCTGCGACGATGAAGCTGCGTTTGCGTTTGCGGTGGAGGAAGATGGACCCGGGTCGTCTCCGTGGAACGGATCGGGTCGGTGTAACCCGGAAATGGTGGAATCCATAGGAGATGTTATATATACTAAAGGCGACTATATGTACACAAAAACTAGGGTTTTTTTGTTGGAGATTGAATCCGCATGGAGCGACCGATCAGTTTGGAGATTTCGTCGGATCGGGTTTTTTTTTCCCGGTGTCTAGGGTTTTTAGAGAGAGGAAGATAGAAGGAGAAAGAGTTACATTATTTTCGTCCAAACAAGAAAATAAAACACTAAAAGGAGGTTCTGGTGAAAGAGGAATAGGAAGAAAGAAAGAAGAGGAAGGAATATAATTAGGAACGTAGAAATCACGTGGGCGTGGGGCCCATACACTTAATTTGTTTTTGTTACTATTTTACTGCACATCTATTATTTTCCTAATTTCTGACCAATCAACATTCTTACGCTTTAATGTAATATATATATATATATATATGTATGTATGTATATGGTACTAATAAAAATCATCGTTTAAGTGAAACTATCACCATTCACCATTTCCACTTATTATTTATTGCACCAATTGCATCTATAAAGAATACCATTTTTCAGAAAATTTAATTTGCTAACGTGGATATATATATGTATACATGCACGTATATACACATACCACACGTGTGTGTATATGTGTATGTATGTGCACGTGTTCCCGTGCTTTTTTCTTACCAAGTAGGACCGCATTCGCATTGTGAATTCGTAAATGCATTTTTCTCTAATTGAAATTACCACGGGACCTCATATTAAATCAGCCTGTCAAAAAACTAAATAGTTTTTATTTTTATTTATGGTACTTACGCAGTGGATGAGATATATGTTTGAATGGACTGTTTTTGCCCAAAGCGCATATTTTTTTTTTAAAATTTAAATGAATGGCTATTGGAATTTCACAAACATCACACGGACTCGAGTATGTCTCCACCATCCAAATATGAAAACAACCCTACTTGCAATAAACATATATATATATATATATATATATATATACGCACCCATTTTGACGTTTGTATGCTTTTCTGTGAGGAAATTTACGAACTGTCTCCATCTTCGTCTGTGAAAACAACATATCTCAAATATCAATCAATTAATCGGATAAAAATCTATTTGTATACTAAATTCATTATATATATATCAAATGGTAGGTCAAACAATCAAAGCATGTTTAATTATTGAAATTACACCCTAAGTCTCGGTGGGCCCCCAGATGATGCATTATACATATGTTTATACGTATATGTACTGATCCAAGCAGACTTTATTAGAAACGATGCTTTTCATATGTTTGTATATTTGTCCGCTGGAAATGTTTTCGCCAAGTTTATATATGTATATACACAAATATATAAATATACACACACACACGCACGAGATGTGTTTGTGTTCAGACATATATACAGTATGCATGAATACATATACGCGCGTGATGTGTGTTATATATGTAGATTGAGAAAAGAACAAAACCATTGGTATCCGATGCTTATATTATTTGGCGCTATGATAATTAGGATGCCAAAAGAAGTGAACTATCGTTGCCCCCACAGTGTTTTTTTTGAGACGACACTGTCGATGAAAGGAAAATTAATTTAATTAAAAAATATTGGTGGGTGCTTACAAACTACTACGACCCACCACAAATACATGTATGCAATGATTATTGATATATATATATATATATATATATATATATATATATATATTATACGTATATAAATAATATACGCGCGTGATGTGTGTTATATATGTAGATTGAGAAAAGAACAAAACCATTGGTATCCGATGCTTATATTATTTGGCGCTATGATAATTAGGATGCCAAAAGAAGTGAACTATCGTTGCCCCCACAGTGTTTTTTTTGAGACGACACTGTCGATGAAAGGAAAATTAATTTAATTAAAAAATATTGGTGGGTGCTTACAAACTACTACGACCCACCACAAATACATGTATGCAATGATTATTGATATATATATATATATATATATATATATATATATATATATTATACGTATATCAATAATAGTAATTATATTAAAAATAAAATGATAGGAAACCCTACATATGCATTCAGTGAATTTAGCTAACAAGATGTAGCTTTCGGGAGTGAGAGACTAATTGTTGGTGGTGACTGACTGGAGCTGTTTCACAGTCACGATTGGCGTTGAAAATGCAGTGACGTGACAACGCGTGAGTGCCACGTGTCTTCTGGTTCCCTAAATTCGATAAATATTTTTTTAAACGGAATAATTGGGCCGAGGCTAAAACCAATCAGGTTAAAAGATGGGCCCATGAAATGAGTATTGGGCTCTTAAGAAGCCCATATCCAAGGCCCATAACTCGTAACTCTTAAGCCCATATCTTCGTTGACCCAATAAAACAAAAGGAGCTGAACTCGAGACCCATTTCAAACTTGGAAAAATGCGAAAAAAGAAGAAGGTGATTTTAGCTTTATCCTGTGGATTTATTTGAGGTCAATTTTGGGCTTTCTAATATGGGCCTTCGAACACACCATGCCGTTTCCCTGTTTGAACGACGCAATACAAGACGTTTTCGACTGAATATCCTAAATCATATATTGATTACAAAGGAAATTATAAACTGTAACCGTTTTGTTAGAGGAATACCTAATCGTCAGTGGTAATCATTATTAATTCCATAAATCTTAATTTAGTTGTTTTTCCACTAAATTTTGTTGGTAGTATTTTTTTATTGTATTGTTTTATTAACCTAAATATGCGATTGATCCAAAAGATTATCTATTTATCATGGATTTTGTCCAAACTCTAGCTGCGAATTCATATCTTATAACTAAAGTATTGTACTATAATTTATCTCTGTGTATTCACAATTCTATAACCACGTATATAACATGTACAATAAGAATAATATACTACGTAATACAAAAATATGTATTTACAGATATACCCTTTGAAGAATATCAGGTAACTACAAACTGCAATCAACAAAACCTTTTCTGACTAACTATCTTTTTTCATGCGATTACTGCTGTCCGTACAACAACGATTTACCAAAACAAATTAATACACACATATCATTGCATAGACGAGAACATAATTTCAAATTATAATAAACATAAGCTTCTTTTTTTGCATAGTAAATAAATATAATAAGAAAAATAAGGGATTAAGTGTTCGTTTTGGCTTTTGCAAGTTTAGTTAGTGAAGATGAAATGATTCGTCTCTCCACTTTGAAAGAAATCCAATGGAATTTGGGTTTATAATGGCTTATATGCTTTTGGTAGGTAACTTAGAATGGTAAGCTCCATCTACACTTACTCTTATGTCTTTCCATTTCTATATATATTATTATCGGCGGATCCATAAAGTTTATTTAACAGCACACTTATATTAAAATAATGAACAACTTGTTTTTTTTATCGGAAATATTAGTTAAATTATTATTATTATTAAGATTAAGGCTCGACACTGTATTTACGATGCAAATAAATAAGACCCCAAACCTACATATATATAGTCTCCCTCACAATCGATGGATATATGCGTATATACATACTTGATGACATATTTACCAACATTTTATCGTAGGATATCGCTCAATATATAACACGACAAATGAATGCCATAATCAATGGTTTCATATTATATCATGTTCATATGAATTTATTTATTTATTTATTTATTTATCCGTGAGGCAGACAAAATGATGCATGGAAGGGAAAAAGACAACTCCGAAGCTCGCAAATAATTAATTTACGAATGTTCACTAGTGAGCACTTTTGACGGGGTCTTGATAGTTGATATCACTTCTTTTGTCTTTATTACGAAACCACTATATATAGTTTGTCTGTATATTTCAATTGACCCCTAATAAAATCACAATATATCCATCCCGCGATATCGCTCTTACCCTGGATTCAAATTCAAACGTGAGAAATGACATTTATCTGGACTTTTTCGCTCTTTTAAAAAATGTAATTGGAACAAAGACTCGGTGAATTTTCGCATTATAAAAAATTAATTAATACAAACATAAAAAAGATTGGAAAACTAACCCATTATACACTAATAAATCATAATCAAACTAAACCCAATAATTATGATGCCCAGACCAAATAATGCTCATATTTTGTGTTGGAATTTAATTATGATACGACGGTTAGGTGTATCTAACGCGCGTTTCTTACAAAATCTAATGAGTGTTTTTTTCTTCCCTATCACGCACGATAATTTGTCTAAGTAATTGGTTTAGACTTTCTGGATTTATCTTAAATTACTGTTTTCCATTTTTTTTTTCAGTGGTAGCGAGTTGTGCGTGCGTGGGAACTCACCATTGGTTGGAATAATAAAATGCGGTTACGTGGCATGTTTGGTGATGATTAACTCAAGTGAAAATATGTAATTAATGATTATAATAATCAACAACTATGATTAATAAAGCAATAAGGGAGATTTGTTTAAAGGGATTAATTAGTTTTTGATCTAAGGGATTAGGATTGCAAAAGACAGCAATAGCGACCGTGGCCAAAGGCTGTTTCGTGCATTTTTGTAACCTTGTGTCCATAATAATATAAGACAAACGTATTTTTTAATTGGAGTTATTATCATTGTTATTTTCCGAGCTATTTGTTTGTTATTTTTCATGAAAAATAAACCCCACGTGAAAATCACGATACCATTTCGAATTTGTTGTATAAAAATGGACTGATTAATAACTTGGTTTTCATTAATCGTGTGGAATATGGTCACTTTAAGATATTTATGTTAATTAATTAGGACTTTTTTGGATCTTAATTATTTAGTGGAAATTTAAGAATTTGTGTACAGATGTTCCACTTTCACTCTCAAATCTTATATTAAATACATAAAGCCCTATTTATATTAAAAAGAAACAATATCGTACTCATCACAATATATGTATAGTACAACTTTTGGTTTGTGGAGTATTTTATTAGTTTACAATAAAATTATATATTTTCTAGTTGACACAGAAAAAGTTTTGTATTTGGATTCGTTATTTTATTGGATATAAAAATCATGAAAATAAATTGAATTTAATAATTTATATAATTGTATCTAAACAAATTTAATTTAAAATTATTAAATACAATTTTTGAAAATTAAATGAATCAATAGCTAAAATAAATTAAAAATAAACCAAATAAATAAAAAATTTACATTTTTAATATCAGATGTAATTAAAAATCCAAACGTAAAATAAAATTTTAATTAAACTAAAAATAATCAAATCAAAATTAATTTTAATTAGTTTATATATGATAGTAAATGAATAGAAAGCAATTTTGGGACACTTGTGGATAAAAGTTTATAATGATCTACCTGGTCCCACACCTCTTCTCGTGTTATTTGCACGCGCACGCGCACGCGCAGAATGGTTTGCAATGCCCCGTATTGATTATTTACGAATTCAAAATTCATGTTTTATTATTTACTTTTCTAATTTTTTTTTGTCGAACTAATAGTTTCAGTATAAAAAGATCACGTAGTTTTTTAATATTATAGCATAAATTTTGAATATAAAACTAGGAAGAAAATTTACCACTCTTTGTAACCAAATTAATATTTGCTTTGGGTGATGATATAATTAATTAAAACATAATCATGTATATATATTTTATAAAGTTTGATCTTTTGATTTAGGATTATATTACATTTTATAATTCTGAATTTTCCGTAGGATGTATCTAGTCACATTTTATAACAATGATATCCCTGATCTCTTGTTTTATTATCGTGATTATTCTATAAGATCCATGCCCATATGCACATTTCCCAAATAAAAAAAAAATACATAATTGGTGCATAGTATCAATGGAAATATCAAATATCATACCTAATGGACAAAGATTACCCTTATGAAAGACGCATACCGATGTTATGACCATATAACGTGCGAAAG